GTGGAGACCAACGTCAGGATTGCAGGTCGCCTCCAGCGAAGGTTGTCTCCAGCGACGTCCAGCCTGTGTCGTTCTGGTTCAAATGTGTCATGCAATTATGTGGTTTAAGGTGGGCTTATGAAGGTGATTTTACATAAGGCCTTAAACTATATGCACCTGGTGTGTAAGCTATTATGGTTGGGAACAGCTACGACTACCAGTTAAGGGGTGGAGCATGCTGAAGAGGGTAACTACAGGGGTTTAAGCCTATAGAAAAGGGTTCCAAACTATTTTTCCATTTCTAACTTGGCTTAAGTTAGCTTTACATGGCAAAATATAGTTTGGTTCAAATGTCTGTTGTCTGTTAGACGAACGACTTGAGATTGGGTGTTTGGTTTCCCCATAAATGTTTTGGAAGTCTATGGCGAGACTTATCAAAAAGAATTAGCTATCCCCCCGAATAGAATTGTTCGAGTAGGTTCGGCTTAAGCGTTGTGAGATCAATGTAGATTATGGTACTTAAAGTAGCAATAATATACATTGACTCCGCAAAGATTGCAATTTAATGAATGAACTGCATGTTGGCATGGTCAAAGGCCTCTTAGTCTCTAACTTAACTTACACACAAGATACATTCTTACCACAGAAACAACCAAAATCAACTAAACCACGTTTCAACACCGACAAGAGTAGTGACTAAGCATCTAGAAACATCGTTTCACTGCTTCTCCTCACCCTGGTTGTCAGTTTCAGTCGCGCTGTCCCGTGTGAGTGGCTTCTTTGCGGACCCGCTTACGCGAGGCATAATCATATCGAGGTGCGCTGCATGGCGATCCACGTCGACTCGGAGTTACGTTTGGCCCCGGAACAGGGATGCGAGTATCCCACACAATACGAGGGTTATCGTCATTAGCAGGGCTATGATTAATGTGTCCGCGCTTGACCACGCATAGGTAATTGGTTGGATCGGGTTCTTAGTTGTGGACCTGAGGGACTTGAGAACTCGGTTTATTGGTTCCACGTCGACGACTTGGGTGCCTTCAAAACGGATCCTTCCCAGAGTCTCTGGATCTATGTCTATAGACATATTTCCCAGGTACTCTGAGTCATCCAGAGTCGCGTCCCATCGTTCCGGATCGAGGTGATAGAGCGTCAAATCACCAATGTGTATGGTTGTTCCCTGGGGAACACTGATCCACATCGTTTTGTCCGGTAACGTCAAAGGTCTATTTGCCCCGGGTTGGTCGTAGGCTATGATCGCCTTTCTTTGAGGAGCGTTCACTAGCCAACGAGAGCCAATTATTTCCGCTTTTGCATCTTTAGCCAGGTGTCGAGGCGTTACGGTCGTTGAGCACTTAGAATTTTCCGGAATAGGTGTTAATCCGCAGATGCCCGCGGTTTTATTCCACATAAACGGTTTGCTCGGGCACAGATAGTGTATCTCCCGAGTGAGAACACACATCTGCAGGTTTGGAGCTAGGTAAACTGAGGGGTTGTCGTCGTGGTACGCAACCATCCTTGGTGTGTCAATTTGAACATGGTTTTCGCCGTGCCAATTGCCAACATTTACGACGTCCCTGAGTCTATATATGCCGTTTGAGGGAATTATCGGTAGGTTGATAATGAACGCCATTTCAAATGTTTTGTGATTGACGTAGATTGGGATTGCGCTACCGAGAGTGTAAGCCAGGTGTGCCTGTGTTTGCGTAACTTTTTCGTGCGTAGCGGAGCTGAGGATGTCGTTCACCATCTGTAGAGAGACTAGATACGGTGGGATCCTACCGGTGGCTAGTGTATCTACCGACGAACTGATATCTCTAAGCATGTCAGCAAAAATCCTATCCATTAGGTGTGCGACAGCGTAATCCGCTTCAACCTTAAGGGCTAACTCATTTACCGCTATTACGAGGGCTTTGATCTCTTGGGTGTGAGTATTCAGCACTAGAACAGTATCCTTTACGGTTTTAGTTACCTGTGTCAACTGTGTTAGTTGAAGGTTCATTTGCGCTCGGATCTTTGGGACCTCGCTCTCTACTTCATACACATGTTGTTTTAGGGACGTTATACTGACAGTGTTGTATGCGGACAAACCTAGGCTGAACAGTGATCCTAGTGACGACGCAGCAAGCAAAAGTCCGCCGATGCCGCGCTTTTGCCTTGTACTTATTCCGCCCAACTCTTGTTGAGTGTAAGTAAATTTATGTAGTTGTTTTAGGATGTGTTGGATCTCTGCTTTAGCACCCTCTAGGGATACTGTGTACCATGGCCTGTTTAACCACTCATTTTTAATGTTAATGTGTTGTTGGACCACGGTTTGGGGGTCGAAGCGGACGAAGACCTTTCGAGTGTATAGGCGGCAATCTGTGATGAGCAGTCCCTGCTGGTCCCGCAGAGCGATGCCCGAGGTGGGCCCAAGGGTTACGATCTCGGCTTGCTCTTCTTGGGTGGCACCCAAGAGGGTGAAGATTACCAGTAGTGGTATCATCATTGTCCTATGGAAACACAAAGAGATAGGTCTTAGCTTCGTAATGGTCAAGGGTAGGTCCTGTGAATTTAAACTATGGTTAAGTTTCTTATCCATTAGTTATCTTCTGCTTGGATGACCCTTATTCCCACGAGGTCAGATTTTGTGAGATCTTTGTCTCCTGAGGAGTTATTGCACGCCTTGTGTGGTTTAACCTGGTTACGATGTACCCATTTAACAGTTGGTTCTTTTTGGCCTTTACTGATTTTTATCTGGTAGATAATTGGAGACACTTTGTCGATTATCAGATGGGGTCCAGTCCATCTGGGCATCAGCTTACGGGCGAGAGTTCCGGTCCCGGACTCTCTTCTCCCAGTTTTGGGTGCAAACGTGTAGTACCAGACCCTGTCTCCCACTTGGAGTTCCTCGTGAGAGGCCTTTTGGTCGTAGTACGCTTTGCGTCCTTCAGCTGATTTTTCCAGGTTTTTCTGTGCGAAAGCAAAAGTGTTTTTAAGGTGTCTTTCCAAGTCTTTCATGTATTGTTGTGTGGTGTAGGCTGTTGCCATGGCAGCATCGCCTGGTTGGTACAACAGGTGCAGAGGGAGAGTCATTTGTCGACCCGTCATCATCTCGAAAGGAGCGATGCCAGTCGACGTGTGTGGAGTGGCCCTTATGGCCATGAGGACCAGAGGGAGTTTCACGTCCCAGTCCTTGTGGTTTGCAGCTACGTATTTTTTCAAAATACTCACCACAGTCCTGTTTGCTCTCTCAACCTGGCCTGAAGCCTGTGGGTGGTAGCCAATATGGAAGTTGGCTTTGACGCCTAGCGTCTTCCACAGTTCCTTCATTACTTCACCTGTGAAGTGTGTACCTTGGTCTGAGTTCACCCTAAGGGGAAGTCCAAACCTTGAAAATACATGATTAATTAACAACATAGCAGTGGTTTGTGCTGTGTCATTAGGGGCTGGTAGACATTCTACCCATTTGGTAAACGCGCAGGTTACCGTGAGAAAATATTTATTTCCTCTAGAGGTCTTAGTGAGTGGTCCGACCCAGTCAATCTGGAGGTCCGACCATGGAAATGCAATGCCTCTACTGTGCAGTGGTGCTCTGTGAAGTGGTCTGGATGGTTGAAACTGGCCACAGATCAGGCACCCTTTTATGTAGTCTTTGACATCCTTTTTCATTCCAGGCCAATAAGCAATCTGTTTCAATGCTTTCAGCGTGGCATTGTCACCCTTATGTCCTGCGGACGGAAGGTCATGTGCATGGACTAACATCACCCCCCTGTGGTCATGGGGGACCACGAACACTGGTGAGGACGTCCGTCCATGAGCAAAAGTTAGGATGCCTTTAACTAGTTTCAGCTGTTTGCGCAGCTGAAAGAGGACTTTAAGGTCTGGATTGGAATCCAGCTCGTCTTTCGATGGAGTGTATTTGTCTGGGTCAGTCAGATACAACATCATCGAGTTAATTGCAGGATCCAACTTCTGAAGTTGGATGATGTCTGGGTCAGTCAGCATCGGGCGCACAGAAACTGTGTTATCAGCAGGTTTAGCTGCAGCTTGTGCGCGTGTGACTGCCATTACCTCAGTTGTAGCTTGTGACGACTGAGTGTTGAGTAGCCAGGAGGGGTTAAAGGACCACGTGGGTCCGTCAACGGCTCCTTCCTTGGCTAGGGAGTCTGCAAGGTCATTGTAGTGCTTGTCATCGCCTGGGACTCTGGAGTGTCCTGGAACTTTCTTCCAGAAGATCTGTAGATCATGTGATGTCACCAAGTGATCACATGTCATGAAAAGCTCTTTGTGTTTTACCACCTTTTTGTTGCTTGTGAGAAAACCGTTCTGTTTCCACAGAGCGAGATGACACAAGAAACTCAGTCGAGCATAGTTAGAGTCAGTGCAGGCCTAGTCCACTACAGATGAGATGAGGCAGAAGTCTGACTGATGGAAGGTTCTGCTTCTGTGGTGGTCAGTCTCTGTAAAGTTTTACAGAAGTCCTCAAATATAAGAACAAAGCACCACCTAGTGATTTAATAAAAAAAATATAAAGATCGAGGTAAAAAGAACAAACCTTAGTGAGAGGGATGCATTATTTTTTGATCTGATAAATTTGGGATTAAAAGTTGTATTTAGTGTATTTTAATGTGGTTGATTGAGTCGTAAAGTTACTGTGAGGTTACGAGAGCATTTGGAAATATTCTGACAAGAATTACAACCTAAATAAATAAAAACACAGCCAACAGTAAGTGTGTGACAGTTTTTATTCCCATAAGGCCTTCTGTGAGTTGATATGTTGAAACGAACATGAACTGCAGTGTTTAATTTGTTCTGGGGTCTCTGAAAGCGTTGCAGTTGAAAAATGCCTCCTTAGCAGAGAAAACCTCAAATTTCTGAACTAAAACCTTTCTCAAAGTTGTTCATGATCAAAATATGAGTGCACCACTTCTGTTTAAAGATCACACGTTGAGATTAAAGCGGTCTGCTGTCAAACAAAGTCTGTGTGGTATGCAACAAAATAAAACCGGTCTTGGCTGTAACGGGTTTTCCTGCTGCAGAGGGCCTACGAAGTCCTGTCGCAGCATCCTCAGGTCCTCGGCAGCAGAATCGCCATGTTGGGTCTGTCCTTGGGCACCAGCATCACCCTGAAAATGGCCGTGTATTCCAAAGTTATAAAGGTAAGAGTCCTGTCTGTCAGCAGAACCAGAGGGAGCGGCGTTTGTTTCACGGGTCTGACTTTGTGTGCCAGCTCAGGTGTGCCGTGTGTGTCAGCGGGAGTCATGTTCAACCACAGGAAGGGTCTGTGGCGGAAGTACTCGACTGCTTTAACAAGTAAGTGCTGCTTTCTGCTGTGAAGACACGACTGAAGTACACGTGAATATATTTTCACAAGAATGTGACCTCTGGCCTTTTTTCACTCCACCAGGAACGTGGAGAAGACTCGGGTCAACGAGAACAATGAAGTCATCTGGCATGACCTGCTGCTGCCCATCCCCACTGACCCCACACAGAAAGTGGAGGTGAGTAACACCGTGCACACTTTCTCGCATACATTCACTTTTCTGATTTTCTAACTTGTCTCAATATCAAGAGAGTTTTGTGGCACTTTTGATTACTTCACATGAAGTAATAGATTGCCTGAAAATTTTGGAGCAGGACAAGGCTATTGACCGTTTTCTGTACCACAGACTGTACCCAGGGGAGGCCACACCTAGTCTGTATGGTTTACCTAAAATCCACAAACAAGGTGTACCTTTAAGACCTATTGTTAGCATGATTAACTCTGTCACTTACAATGTTTCCAAATATCTGGCGTCTGTACTCATCCCTTTAGTTGGCAGCTCAGAACACCACATACAGAACACCATGGACTTTGTGGATAAGGTGAGGGATGTCATCATGGAGACTGATGAAACAATGGTCTCTTTTGATGTCACATCACTCTTTACGTGCATTCCTGTTGATGATGCAGTAGAGGTGGTCAGTTTAAGATTAAAATCAGACACCACTCTGAGCAGCAGGACCACGCTTTCCACAGAACAACTGTGTCAACTCTTGAAACTGTGCCTGCAGTCAACCTACTTCACATATGGGGAGCAAAATTATAGGCAGAAACATGAGTGTGCTATGGGGTCTCCAGTTTCTCCTATTGTTGCCAACCTGTACATGGAGGAGGTAGAAAAGAGAGCCTTGACGTCCTTTTCAGGGACACCACCAAGTCATTGGTTCAGGTATGTTGACGACACCTGGGTTAAAATTAAATCTCAGGAAGTCCAACATTTTACTGACCACATCAACTCTGTGGATAAATACATCAAGTTCACACGAGAAGATGTAAAAAATGGCAGGTTGGCTTTCTTGGACTGTGAGGTCTCAGTCTCTGATAGAGGACATTTGCAAACTGAGGTGTACCACAAACTCACCCACACAGACCAGTATTTGCAGTTTGACTCCCATCACCCTTTGGAGCACAAGTTAGGAGTCATCAGGACTCTGTACCACAGAGCAGACAGCATCCCCACTAGCTCAGGAGCCAGGCAGAAGGAGAAATCCCACACAAGACAGGCTCTAGAACAATGTGGATATCCTAACTGGGCCTTCCTGAAAGAAGAAACCCAAACAGGACTCCAGTCAGCCATCAGGTGAAAAGGAGGAACCCAGACCCAGACCAGTGGTCATTCTGTATGTTGAGGGAGTATCAGAGAAACTGAGACGTTTATTTTCTAAACATAACGTCCCAGTGGCTTTTAAACCCCAAAATACATTAAACACTGGTTCATCCCAAAGATCCAGTCCCCCGGCACAAACAGAGTAATGTTGTGTATGCTGTTCAGTGTCAGGAGGGTGATCAGTCTTACATCGGGGAAACTAAACAGCCACTGGCCAAAAGGATGGGCCAGCACAGAAGATCAACATCATCAGGCCAGGACTCTGAGGTCTACACTCATCTCCAGGTCAGCGGTCACTCTTTCAGGGATGAAGATGTTCACATCCTGGACAGAGAGGAACGATGGTTTGAGAGAGGAGTAAAGGAGGCCATCTTTGTGAAAAGAAACCGTCCATCATTAAACAGGGGCGGAGCCTCCAGGTTCAACTGTCCCCCTCTTACAATGCTGTGATTGCTAGTATCACTCAGCCCTCTGTGAATAGTAAACAGCCATCAGGTGCTAATGATCCATTGTTAGGCTGATGGTCCTTCTTGAGCATGTGATCAGCTGGTTCTGGTTGTCAGCAGCAAACTGGTTGATCCACTCTGAGAAGGTGCTATTTAAGAGACTGAGCTGAATACAGCACCTCAGACTGAGGAAGTCTCTTGGATGAGAGACGAAACGTTTCTATATTTTTTTGCTTTTTTTGTTTTTTGTTTTTTTTTGAATGTCCAGAGGACCAGATTGAACTTTTTTGGATTTTTCTAACTGGATTATTGAGCATGCATCAGGATATTACTTCACATGGACAATCATAGATCTCATTTCCTCAGATGCTGAATATTTTGAATATCTTGCACCAAATATATTAAGGTTTTGTGGGGGAATACTTGAATAAAGAGGTGTGGTCACCTTGTTAACAGATGTGCAATCAAAATACTAAATGCGGTCGACCTCGATCAAAGTCATAATAATGTGAGTTCTTGGCCATGTTGTGATTCCCCTCACTCAAATAAAGACACAAAAATCAATGAGTTAAAATCACAACTCTGTAAAGTTTATTTTCAGTTTGAATAGTGACAATATTATGGAATTATGGCAAATATGAAATATGAATGAATAACCAATAGTATTATTTCAGAAAGTGAATGATGTAAATAGTCTTAACTTTGAGAATAGAGGTTATCTAAAATTTAGTACTCAAGTCAAAATTTAGGTAAACTTTATCTCAGATTTGTGAACTAAATTAAAAGTGTCTAAAAAAACTTTGTTGACACCGAGAGTCATTTCGTTCTTCAGGAGGAGGTTTTATCCTACCAGGAAAGTTGTCCTCATTACCACAATGGATATGATGAAAGCCAGAGGTTCACGCCGTCACAAGAAGGGATGTCTTTCCTTCCATACTACGTCTCTTCCAGCAAAGCAGTGCCTCATCACTCCGGGGTGTTTGAGGGTTCCTTGAACTTTTCTTTTCAGCTGACTGGCTCTGTCCAAGTTGCAACTGCATCGGAGCCCTGTGGACTTCTCGGGCTGGCTCAGAGCCATCTCTCCGCCAAAAAGTCGCACTTCTGCCAACTAGAGACAACTTCTCCAACTCTTCTTCCGTGTCAGCATTACCCGACACTACGAAGAGACTGTGCCTCTCGATTTAACCAATCACTGCAGCTTACCAACAGTGGGTGTGATATATATATATATATATATATATATATATATATATATATATATATTCTACTCTATTCTATATCTACTCAGATTTGTGTGTCTTGAATGCGTTCAAGTTAACCAAATTACTATAGACTTCCGTTGATGTCTACATGTTCATTGGTACTGAACAAAGTATTTTTGGTCAGTAGCTTCTGAAGAATGTGTGAGTCAGGTGTTTATAAAGTTAACAATATGTGTTTCTAAATGTATGAAGTGTGAAATCTGTGTACCGTTTGTCTGTGAGCAGATGGGTCGACTCCAGTGTCCTCTGTTGCTGATTGTTGGTGAAGACGACCAGAACTGGTGTGCCTACGAGTCTGCATTGGATGTGAGTTGACTGACCAAATTCATTTGTTTAATTCAGTTCAGTTTTTTATACAGGGCTATGACACAGAACAAAAACTCAGCTTTGTCCACCCCCACAATTTCAGTAAACAGCTACTTTTCTATTTTTAAACCTGTTTTAACGCTTTTAAAAACATGAGCTTTTATTTTTTAGACATGAATCTAGGAAGGAGTGGCCGATTATTGATTAGGCAGCCTGCTCAATAACTTTTAGAGTAGGAGGCTAACGACTCAGAGCTGGAGTCACCTCTCAACATCAACACAGATGTTCTGTTTGGTGAACGCAGACTGTTTAAACACTGATCACTGAAGAAAATGTCTCATCAGCATCACAAGCATGGAAATGGTTATGAAATCACAATCAGCAGCAGCTGTCAATCAATTTTGTAGAGTGAGATAACACACATTTTCAAGAATCCAATAAAGAATTATTTCACAGTGAATTTATCTTTATTCTTATCTTGTAGCAGTCCCACTTGATTGCAGGCAGCTCCAAAACTTCACTTTGTTTTCTGTAACTACAGGCAAGATCATGAAATCTGATCCACATCAAAGCATCATACTGTGAACATGTGAATAAGACGGTTTAAACTCTTTAATTTTATGACTAGTCATGTTCCTCAGGGGCAAATCAATCACCTTATTTAACTGCTTACAATACTAGTTTTAAATGTGTTTACACAAAAAACTAGTCAGCCTTTTCGAGCTGTCTCAGCCTAAAATAAAAATGTGTAAATGTATTTTACCATACCATACCATACCAATTTATTTATAAAGCACTTTAAACAGTGACAAAGCACACCAAAGTAAAGTTTAACTCACCGTGATGCATGTATTAAGCTGCAGTAACGTTAACAAACATAAACTTACTAGCTGAAGTCCCAGACACAGCTCTGTCCTTGGTGCAAAGCAGAGTCTGGTCATGGAGATGTTGAATCAGGCCATCCAGGCTCCAACACCCACAGGCTGACTTTAATGCTGAGAGGAGGAGGCTGCGCTCCTCTCTCCTTGCAGTCAAACACGGAGCAACTTTCCACTTGTAAACTGAAGCCGTTCGACGACATACGCTGCACACGTAAACCCTGTCTGTGGCGTAACCAGTGCCATAGACATACAGCTTTATGGCAGCTCTATACAGTTCTGGGTGTAAACACATATGTCTGTTTGTTATATGTCTGTGTTTTACCTGCCTGCGTGCTGAAACCATTTGTCACGTTACAGCCAATCACCGAAACTTGACATAGAAAGAAGTCATGTTTCAATCCAGTCACCGACCGATGCAGTTCGGTCGGTGCCATAAAAGAACTGAGGTTTGGTAAACAGTCCTAATCGGGGGAAAGCAACACATCATTAAAACTGACCGAGATCTGACTGAGACATGACAGACTCCTGTCATCTGCAGAAATATTCAGATGACTGCAGTGGATCAGAGATGGACAAGAAGCTGAATACAGGGAACTGGTGGACCGCTTTGTGGCATGGTGTGGAAACAATCATCTCACGTTGAACGTGAACAAAACAAAGGAGATGATTGTAGATTTCAGGAGAAATAGGAACAGGTCCAACTCTATTTCCATCATGGGAGAAGAAGTGGAGGTGGTGGACAAGTATAAATACCTTGGAGTTCACCTGGACAACAGACCGGACTGGAGATGCAACAGAGAAGCGTCTACAAGAAGGGACAGAGCAGACTGTACTTCTTGAGGAAGCTGAAGTCCTTCAATGTTTGCAGCAAGATGCTGCATATCTTCTATAAGTCTGTTGTAGAGAGCGCTGTCTCTTCTGCCATCATCTGCTGGAGGAGCAGCACCAGAGCAAGTGACTTCAAAAAGATCAACAAGCTCATAAAGAAGGCTGGCTCAGTTCTGGGGACTCCTCTAGAACCTTTGGAGATGACTGTTCAAAGAAGGATTCTTCATAAAATGAAGAACATTATAGACAACCCTCAGCATCCTCTTCATCAGACTGTCATACAACAACAGAGTGTCTTCAGTCAGAGGATTCTTCAGATCTGCTGTAAGACAAGAGATCCTTCCTGCCCACAGCCATCAGCATCTAGAACAACTCTTTAATGAAACCAGGATGATGAGTTACCACAACATTTAATTTACCTCTGGGATTAATAAAGTATTTTTGAATTAGAATTTGAAAATGTATTTTAAGTGTTAAATTACCCAACAGTGAAACCATGATCCCATTGTTTTTTTTAATTGTGCTGTAGACTGAAGCTGACAAGACAAAACCCAAGTTGTGTGGTTGTGGAACCATCTGACTTTAAGTCCCTGTTTTCCAGATGAAGGAGATGATGGAGCGAGCAGGGAATAGCCACCTGCTGACCGTCCTGTCCTACCCAAACGCAGGTCACCTGATTGAACCACCATACTCACCGCATGCCCGAATCAGTCTTTTCAGAGACATCGCTTCACGTCAAAAAAGTAACTTTCCCTTCAAGTTTGAGTGTTTTAAAAGTGATCTTGTGTTGAGTTCATAGGGCTGTTTTCATTGTTTGCAGTGATGGCTTTGTGGGGCGGACAGACTCTGGGACATTCTCGTGCTCAGGAGGACTCCTGGAGGAAGATGTTGATATTTCTGAGGGAGAATCTGTATGGCGGCACAAAGCCTGGTGCAACCTCACTTTCCCAGCTTTAATTAACAAGATGACGAAAGTCCCAAATGAAGTTGAACTGATTCTACTGAAAGACGATGTGGTTTGATTCTTATCAGAAGCACTTATTGGTGATCAGAAGTGAAATCATTGCTCAGGTGAAGATGTGTATAAATGTCTTTTTATTCACACTTAAATACAAATTTTTTATGGATCAAACAATGAAACCATGCATGTTCCATCATTCTGTATCTTTTAATGTTTTCATAAAATACAGAAAGAACAAAAATGTCTGGGAATAAGCAGAAACCTTCTCTCAGAGAGACCGTAACCAATGATTCTACAACAAACCACGGAGGACGACTGAAACTGCAGCTCTGACTTGCATTCCATATTATTATGCAAATATTCTTATTTGCTGTTCCTAAGTAGTCGGTGCAAATGACAGTCAACAAAAAATTCAAGTCATCAAATGTTAAAGCAGAGCTGTTCAACAAAACTGCTCAGGGGGCCGCAGTTTCTGAAACAGCTCGGGGGCCGGACATCCAGCGATTAAAATCATTAAATAAATAAACCAAAGTTTAAAATGACCCAGGCCTGGAGTGGCCAATCGGGAGGGTCTGGAGAATACCCGGTGGGCTGGTCTGATTTGTGGACTGCCTCCTCCGCAGGGCTGCAGCTCTGGTCTTTCTTCTTTATTTTTCAACAAGTCGACTCCGCTGCGTGACCTGTCAATCAGTCCAGTAGACGTGTCAACAAATGACCAGTCGGTAACCTCAATTTGTCCCGAAGGTAAACGCCCCTTACATAAGGCTGCAGCCTGGACGCTGCAGTCAGGGGGGTTCAAGTATCCCACTCGAGGGGTTTGTGAAAAATCACCAGAACAAAATGGTTAAACGGTGTCAGTGGAGAATCCAGAAACGTGTTACTCTGAGCGTTTAGAGGGTGGGATACAGTTGATTCATTTTCAAAAATTAAACGGAGTTTGGAAAACGTAAAAAGTCGGGGACCGACCCCATCAGCTGATCACAAGTTCACAACAGGAAGTAGCTACCATATGTTCATCTCTACGAAAGTAACTGCAGGTAAATCCTCCATTTTCTGTCATAATTTAATTACATTGTATGCTTAATGGTTAAATTAAAGGTTAATGCTTAATTCAGGTTATGTTTATTTGTTATATGCAGGTTAACACAAGGTTAGCAGTACAATCAAATATTCAGGATGAGAAGAACTGATTTGACTCTAAAAGAACAAACAAACAAGAAATACTAAAACTTTAAGTAAGGGTACAACATAAAATACCAAAAGTAAAAAAGTAAATTCAATATTTACAAGGTCATCAAAATGAGGTGGAAAAGGTGAAACACCCACACCTGCCTCCACCCTCATTGGCCCCACCCTGGTCCCCTGAGCAAGGCACTCAACCCCCACCACCTGCTCCTAAACAGGTCTCTCTAGAAAATGAGTTCTCGTGACTCAATGAGTCGACCTGGATAAATAAAGATAAATGAAAAAAATAAAAGTTTAAAATAGAAATACATCATTAGGCCGAGGTTGTGTGTGTGACGTGCACGTTCCTGAGAGGCCACAGACAGAGCAGCTGCAGCTTTTGTTCAGTTCCTGTAGTCCTGCAGTTTTCAAGCTGAAATGAAAAAGCATCATGAAGATGAACTTTACAGTCTCTAGTTACCTGTTCATAGAAACACATGGAGGGGTCTCACCTGGTGACTCACAATAAAATATGTAACTTTATGAACTCTAATGAACTTAT